CCCTCATCCCTTCCATTTTTCCTTTTCCTATTCCCCACCCTTCGACCTTATTTTTCCCGCCTTTCATACTTCTAGCTTTCTCTCCTTCCCACACTCCATTTTTATTTCCTTTCCTGCACTCCTGGGGTACTTTTGTGTTGAGAGATTTGGGAGAGAATGAAAGGAAACAAACCAGTGTGGTAGACTGGGGTGTGGGTGAGGGTGAAGCTTCGGAGAGGGGGCCGAGGAGCTGAGCTGGGAAGCAGGGAGGGGATCACTTACTTCTCTGGCATCAGGAGAGTGAACGGGGAGGACACCCAGAAAGGGGTTCCTAATGCTCTATTCCCCTCTACTGCTTCTGCAAGTTCTGAGGACATAGTCATCCAGGAGTTTATGCTGCAGGAGCACGACGGAGCGGAGGGCCAGAAGGCTTTGGAGGCGGAGGGAGACAAGGGGAGCTGAGCGCCCTATTCTGGTGCCCCTCTGTGTGGGAGCCCCTACTGTAACGTTCTAATAAATCGGCTTGTCCAGACGTGCCTGGCGATCTCTGGTATTTTGTCCTCCTGGAGGATAATGGAACTACTGAGAATGACACCACCACCACCACTCCATCTCACCCCACTCCCCGCCATGATTACATTACCCTTAGCATGTGCCTTTCCCTTACCCCCCCCCCACTACCCTCTGACATGGCCATCTGCCCTCCGTGGGTCCTTCAACTTTCTCTTCAGCCTGGGCCATCCATGCTCCCACCCCTCCAATCACCCCACTGAGCCAAGCACAGGCCTGGCGCCAAGGGAGCTGCTGGGAAGACGGAGGAGGCAAGGCTGCACCCATGCCCAGGTGCGAAGCCAACAGTCGCAAGTCGCCATTGGGGAGAGTGTAGTAGGACGTCTGGTGGCAGAGGGCTGAGAGTAGGAAGCCAGCATCACCCACCGCCCACTTTCCGCAATGTATGCCTTCAGTCCCCACGAGGCCCGGAGCGAGCCCAGAGGCTTGAGCCTGGAGACCAAAGAGAGACCCAAATACCAGTCTCTGCACAAATCCAAACTCGTATTCTTGGGAAAGCAGATGGCGCGGGCCTGGATTGGGCTCTGGGTATAGGAAGGTGTGACTGGTATGGAATCAGGTGGGGGGTTCTTTGGGGAATCGAGTTCCTCCTCGTTGGGAAAGTTTGGAGTGTGTGATAGTAGGGGGCGGGGGGAGGGTGTCATAGAGACTCTGAGGGGAGAAAGGACATCCAGGGCAAAGTTTGGCCTACTATATCTCCCTCACAGTGGGGAAGACATCAGTCATCACCGGCTTCATGTATAACAGCTTTGAGTGCACCTGCCAGGTGAGCCCACCACCAGGGAGTCACACGGCACATATTTGCCCCTTTCCTTGACTGACTCACTGGAGGATTCTTCAACTCAAAGTTATCTATTTGTAAGCACTGGGAAGCAGAGCCAGGACAGCCTCCTCAAAGGCCATGCTGCACTTCCTGTTCTAAGACTGACTGGTATTTGGGGAGAGGGGAGATTCAGTGTCTCTCTTTTGCAGGCAACCATTGGAATTGACTAAGACCATGTACTTGAAGAAGTGAGTGTTAACTCTCATACTACTAACCCTACACCTCAACCCTTAGGCCTATTCATCACAGTAGGGTAGTACCACTCCACATTGATCTATGAATAAAGAAGGGGAAGAAAAAACCTGAAACCTCCCCAAATTACCAAGCCCTGTGATGTTTCTTGTTCTCTCTGCCCTCATCTAATCTCCAACTGCAACATAAAGTTTGAGACCTCAAATCCATAAATCTGTTCTATAGTGTTTTCTTTAACCAAAATGGCATATTGGGATTGGTTGGACCTGTCCTAGGGCTGTAGGCCACTTGGTTTGAGGCCAGAGCAGCCACTTTTCAGGAATCCAGCTCCCTGACTCTTTTTATTCTGCCTTTATTAGGTTCTAGCTTTTAAAAGGCTAGTTTCTTTTCTACCTGTCCCCATCTTCTTCCCAAACATTTGTTTTATGCAGGTTCAGCAGCAGTTATGGAACACAGCAGGCCAGGGGCACTTTCACAGTCAAATTCGTAGCCACATGCGTGACTCAACTATTGCTGTTGTTGTCTATGACATCACAAGTGGGTGTTATGTGATCTTTTATTTGAAAAAAAAAGGGATTATGAGGGAAGTGACAGGGAGGTTGGTAAGACAAGCAGAGAGGAAAGACAGGTACACTACTCTTTCCAAACTTTTACTAAAAGTTTCAACTCTCTGCAACATATTCTCTTGCATACATCAATTCTTTCAAGGAGACAGACAAGTGAGTAGAAGATGCATGGGCAGAAAGAGGTGACAATGTTGTCATCATGTTGGTGGGTAACAAGATTTATCTGAAGAGCGAAAGGTAAGGTATTAACTACAACTTCATCTGGTATACCTAAAGTTCAATCTCTATGGGAAGGGTCTACTATGCTCTGTTTACTTGGGGAAGAGTTGCCAGTGTCAGGAATCAAAAAGGTCATGGGTTCAAGGCTTCTAGGGTTACTGGTCCGAGGGAAGCATCATTACACCTCAGAAAGATCTATCCCTATTCACTAACTCAAGATTACCACTGTCTAGTCACTTTCATCATTTCTCATTTGTCCAGACAAGTCTCTGCAGAGGAGGGCAAAGAAAAATCCAGAGACCTAACATGTTTATTGACACCAGCGCCCAAACCGGTTACAATGTGAAAAATGTAATACCCATTTTTCTTTATATTTCCATTGCACTCTGTTTCTAGCTACGAACCACTGCTTACTGTTTTGGATAACCGTGGCTTGTCCTATTGTGGGGTGGGGGCAAGGTTCCACTTCCCATCATATAGCCCAAAGGCCCAGAATCATCTCAGCCTCTGAGCTTGACCTTTTTCCTTTTGTTCACCATTCATACACACACACACACACACACACACACACACACACACACACACACACACACACACACACACACACACACACACACAGAGCTATTCTGGCATGTGGCTTCTGCCCTTCCTTCCAGGTGAACAGAAGTATTTCACCTCTGCTGAGGGAAGAGGGGAGTATTCTTTCTCCCAGCTTTGCTGGGGTAGGGAGTATACAAGCACAGAGAGCAAGATTCCTTTGCTGAGTTGATGGCCAGGCCAATTTTTTCTGCCTGAGTGGTACTTAAGGGAAAATGGGACTAACTTTAGCCCAAAATATCTCCTTGGTTTGCCTTTAGGTGAAGGGGACCATAAGATTAGAATTCCTCTTCTGTGTCTCCTAGAAACTGCCTCTAGGAGTTGAGGTTTCACTCCAGTCAGCTCACCCTATTACTTTCCTTATTACACACTTTCAGTGGTTGATATCCAACCGGAGCCCTTCAAGGAGTCAGGCATCAAAAACCATTATTCCTGTTGATAGCTTAAGCTGTCTCTTTGACTAATTTGATGGATTTATTGCATTTGGGCTTTCCATACCACTCCTTCTCCCCCACCCCCTGGATTTATGATTTAAACACTTGGCCATTTATTAACTCTCTTCCAATTCTCAGGCTGAGTAGTAAAATGGAACCCCTGAAAGTGCTATCATTTTTTCTTGACTGCATCTCACAACTATTGGGTGGAAACTTCTTGCAGCACCTGGAAATTCCACCTTATCTTCTCTAATGGCTGAAAGACATCTATAGGGGATGCAGTTCTACAGCACCTGGGACACAAAGGCCAATGCAATTAATTCTCCAGTTTTCTTATCTACATCCTTAATAAATGACTGGTCCTTTAGCTTTGCCCTGTTATTGCTTGCACCTTCTCCACACAATCTCCATGCTGCAATTACTTCATGCTGGTGCCCCAACATAGAACCATTCCAAGTACCTCAAAGTGAGAACGACTTTAGGGCAGGATGGTTTTTGCCTCTTAGGCCCATGGCACCTGGCTGGGACATTTCAGCATGTTTACTACACTTATTAGATAAGTTGTTTTAAAATCTGTTAACCATAGGGAGAGTCTCAGACCTCAACATTCAATAGACTGAATGTGCCTTTGTAGAAGTATCTAAGCTTCTACTTTCTTTCTCAGATAGCCATTGGAGAGCGGCAGAGCAAACAGGAGCATAGAATAGGAGGGGATTTCCCAGGAAGCAGAGACAGGTAATTAATTCTGCCTCCATCTCTGCTCACAAGAGATGTTGCCACCTAACAATGGCACTGACCCCCCAGAAAAGGTACCTTAGTAAAGCTCGGGTGGCATATACAGGAAGAGCCAGAAAAGCCAGAACTTCCTCAGAGAGATATATTACTACTACATAGAACAGTGTTTCAACCATTTGACAACGTATTTATTTTATTTGAGAATTCAGATTTCCACGGTCCATCTCATACCAACAAAATCACTATCCAGGGAAAGGGCCTTAAATATATATTTAAGCTCCCCAGGATTCTTTCAATCACAGGGGCACTTCACCCCATACCCCACTAAAAAACTTTTCAATTCTGAATGGGTATTTTGAACATGACAATGGAGATGGAATAGGTGTGACCTGGAATCTCAAACAATGGATTGGGAACTAAAGATCTAAAAACATGGCATGTTATTTGGGGCTGCGGTGAGGAAAAGGAGGAAGTCAGTAGTTAGTACTACTAAACCCTACAAGTTGGAAATCAGGAACCAATTTCTTACTGCTGCCTTTGAAAAGAAATGCATTTAAGCCCCTTCTTTGGTTTATGTTCCAGATCAAAGAATTTGAGAAAGGAAAAGAGAGAATTATATTAATACTGTTCCCTGTAGAGAAATGTCCAAACTTCTAAGAGAAAGGGCACTGTTTCTTCCAGTACCCCTCACCCTGTGCCATTCCGTGGTTATACATTGTGGCTAAGGTTTCTGGACCTCCCTAATGTTCTGGTCAGACGTAGATAGTTGTGAAGTAGGTAAATTGTTGCTTTGTTCCTTCTAGTAGCTCCTCTCTTTGGAATAGCTTTTTCTTGCCTCAATAGCATTTTATATCCGATCAGTATCATTCAAAAGTCACACCAACATATATTCAAAATTAAGTTTTACTTTTTTGGGGAGAGGATAGGAGGAGGAAGGGGCAAAAACAGGGTCTTGTTGGAGTCTCCAAAGTGTATGAGAGCTCCAGTTAATTATAAAGATGGGATGAGGAGATGGCCAGGCAAATCAGATGGGAGGTCCCCAAGATACTTTTTCCTACTGATTTCTATAACAAAAATGATATGACATGTGTGAGTCCTTAGCCCACATTATTCAACAGATGTCATCTGCCTTTTCCAGCTGGGTTCCCCACAGGCTAGGTTATACCTAGACATCATCACCCTTCTCCTTTCAGGGAATGAAGCTCACCTAGAAAACTAGGGAACTAAAAGTGCAGAACAGTTTGGGTAATGCAGTTGCCTCGCTATGTCCCCACCCTCCCCTCTCCACTATGCCAGAGAGTGGCTGAGAAGTAGAATTTCCCAAGTGGCTTCCTTGGGGCCTAGCCGGCTTGTCCTGGCTGATTCCACACGGAGGACTGTGGGCTGCAATTCTCTAGTGCACAGTCCTCTCTTTTTGGCGATGATAATCTGGAGGAAAGAAGAAAGAAAAGGAGGAACAGAGCAGGTTATTTTCAGGCCTGAGCTCCGAATTCCCCATCTCCAACTTGTGGGGCCTCTAGACATCAGTTTTTAAAGAGTTCCTACCTAGGACCCTGCCAGGTAAGTTAAAAAGGAGAATGGCACTTACTGTAAGGAAAGAAGCGGACACGCATGCTGATTTCACGGGCTGTCTTGAGGATCTCAACAGCCTGGAAGGAACACAGAAGCTTGTACAAATGAAGAGATAGGACCCAGGACAGAATCATGACAGGAGGAAAGGGATTTACCACTGCAACCTTCTGGGTCACTAACAGCTGCTTCCCTCCAGTATATTTCTCCAAGAGAGATGCTTTCTTATCAAGTTACAGATTAGGCTAATACTGTTCAAACTGTCCTACCTGGGATGGCTTCTTGCATTATCACAGCACAAGTGCTGTGCTCACCTTGCTATGCTCAATATCTTGGAAATCCACATCATTCACAGCTAGAACTTGGTCCCCTTCCTGAAGTCCTGCTCGATGTGCATCAGAATCAGGAATTACCTGTTGGTAAAGAGAGAATACATGTGATTGGGATGGGGTCATTTCAGAAGACTGTAAGTGAAATTCAGTGCTATTCAGATGTAAGATGCAATTGTTTTTCGGAGACAATGTAGGGAGACATGTCTTGCCAAATGAAAGTTTTAAGTGGGAAAGAGGGTGTCCCCATTATGCCCCTTGAGTAAGTCCATCGAGTCATCCTTTTCTCAGCCCTTGGGACATCAGGTTTCTGCAATCTGATGACTTCACAAAGGCAAGTAGCTATCCATATTGCCTACCCGGCATGCGCACCTTGGAGATGAAGATGCCTAGCTGGGAGGCCTTTCCTCCTCGGATGTTAAATCCCAACTGTAAGAGAAGAGTACAGAATGAGGGCTCAACATAGACCACAAACACAAGAACATCTAGTAGCATCACTGTACAATAGCTTGGCTTTTGTATCCCTCAGAGGGAAGACAGAAGTTGTGGAAATGTTATCTCAGCTTTTCTGCCCACAACAAAAAAAAGTTTCCTTACCTCCCCATCTGCTTCCTAATCTATCCCCCTCAACCACGGCCAACTTCTGGTATGGACAAATCTAGCCTGGAATAAGAGGCTCCATAAGCTCACCTGAGCTCCAGGAGGCTTCTTCAATGTGACGATTCGGGGCAGAAACTGAGTCAACTCGTTGTTGTAGTCTGGGTGGTACACTCTCTGCAAGACACAGCAATCCTAGAAATCTTACTACCAGTCTCATAATTCATACCTACATTCATCTGGAACACTAACACATCATCCTGAAGTCAGGAAAAGGTAAAGTCATGAGTAGATGGATAGTACTGGGACATGCTAGCAGTCCAGTAGCTCTCCACTTCTTCACCTCTTGCCACAATGGAAACAAGGGCTCTGAATTTCCAGAATTCACTGGTATGAATGGACCCCGGCAGGAGTCTTTCATAAGTAGTTCCCAGTGAGCCCCATTGCTCAGAATCCAGCTTCTGGGTCCTCTGGCTACAACAAGGGCTAAGATTTACTCTCCGTTTAGTTTTCTAACCCTGCAATCCTACCTTTCTTCTATCATCTCATGCCCAGAGGAAAAATTCTCTACTCAGGAATACAGATGGTTCCCACCTCATGAGGAGGAATCCATGCTGGGGGATTTTCATAGGCAGGCAGGAAAACCACCGGGTAATCATCATAAGGAATCCGGCTATCCATCTTCGGCAAGGCCCTGGAATGGAAGGGTGAATCAAAGCAGACAAAAGTGGTTCAAAAGGGACAGCACCCAGCAAGTTTCAGAAAGCAGCTCCAACCCATTCCAAGGCTGTCAGTATATGACTCCAGCCCACATCTAAGTGTTAAGATTGGAGAAGAAAAGGAAGAAAAACGATGGAAGAAAATTATTAACTTTGTTAAACATCTTCTGGATGCCAAGCAGCCTGCTAGGTACTCTAGAGAGATGATCTCATTTCTCATAGCAATCCTGAAAAATAAATTTTACCGTCTTCATCCTAGAGAAGAGGAAATCAGGGTCGCGTCAAAAAAGATCTACTTTCGAAGCCCAAGAGAGTGCTGACTCCAACTATCCACAGGGACTCCGGGCAAGGAACCACTCCACATTCCCTAGATGTAATTAATAATGGTGGGGTCCCCGGATCGACCCTTACGTCACCACCAGCCATCTTCCAGATCCCCGCCCGCATCCTGCCTAAGTCTAGCGCTCACGACCGCATAAACGGGGCACCACCTCACCGGGAGGAAGGCCTCAGGAACCTTAAGGTCCGGTCACCGCCAGTTCGGCCTAGGAACCGGAAGCGGACGCTTGGCTGGGTCGGAAAGAGGCGGTGCCCGGGTGAGGCTAGCCCACCCGTCCCTCCCCAACGTGTCGTCCTGCGCGCGCCGACGTGCGTGCTCCGCCCACAGGCCGTCTGCGCTCTGATTGGCTGGCGCCTCTGGGAGTGATTTCAAACTTGGCGGTGAAAGCTCCGGTTGGGACCGGGCGGTGGGAGACCGGGGAAGACCGGGGAAGGGACGTTTAGTTTGGTGAGTTAAGGCGGCACACCTTGGCTCAGAATTTTCCTTTACCGGAACCTTGGGGCTTTGGTTCTTTGTTGCCGTCTCCGTTGGAGTTTTTTCTTTTCATTTCAGACGCCACTTCACTCTCGTCAGTGTCGGGCAGTCCAGTCGTGGCCAAGACTAAGGGAAAGTGAATCTCCTGAGGCAGCGATCCCGCTGAGAGGGGAGGCTGCTACTTCTCTGGCTGAGTTCCGTAATCCACCCCACCCTACCCTCTCAGGAGGGCCGGAACTGAGGACGCCCTCCACCCCTTCCGACCTATCAAGATTTATCAGCAAGACTCTTCCCCACCCCCACCCCCGCAGAGACGGTGCTGGAGTAGGATCATGAAAGAAGAGGTGAAGGGAATTCCTGTAAGAGTGGCGCTGCGTTGTCGCCCTCTGGTCCCCAAAGAGATTAGCGAGGGCTGCCAGATGTGCCTTTCCTTCGTGCCCGGGGAGCCTCAGGTGCGTGGCAGAGTCCAGGGCCTGGGTCTGAACAGCTGGGGCCAAATAGCAGTAAGGGGCGTGGTCTAGTCTTGCATTTTTTTTTTCTTATGCCTTGTCCCTTCCCTTCTCTAGGTGGTGGTTGGTACTGATAAATCCTTTACCTACGATTTTGTGTTTGACCCCTCTACTGAACAGGAAGAAGTCTTCAGTACAGCAGTAGCACCACTCATAAAAGGCGTATTTAAAGGTGAGGCTGTTTAGTGCATTGAACGTTTCTTGAGCATATACTATGTGCCAAGCACTATGCTTGGGCTCAGCAAATACAGGAATAGATGAAACATGATTCCTGCCTTCAAAAAGCCCACAGTCTAATAACATTTGTGAAGCCTAATAACATTTGTGAAAGGTTCTGTACCCCTGAAGCTAGTTTTATACTGTATTTGCTTTCTGTGGTTCTGTTCATCTTTGACTTGTATATAAACCTATAAGCTCTTTGTTGGGTGCTGATGGTGATCAGTGCACCAATCTACTTGAGGCCCAGGCACGGCAAACTTTGTTGAGGGATTCAGAGATAAATAATATAGCTTCCAGGCCTTGAAGGAGTTCAGTGTCCAGGAAGTAGGGGTGAGGTAGTTAACTACATAAATAATTTTGAATACATAAATTTGAATTTTTTTCACCTTTTTTTTCTAAATTTTTTTTAATGTTTTGTTTTTTATTGGTTATGAATATTCATGGGGTACAAAGCAAATTGTCACCACTCGTGCCTAAGATATGATGGCCAGATCCATACTGGCAGCATGTCCATTACCACAAATTGTGAAAGTTAAAAATATACAACAACCTCAGTCCTGCTATAGAAGTAGCACTAATTTCATACAAAGTAGTATGAAAAATGATATGATGGCACTAACTCTGCTTAGGGTACTTGGGGCGAATTTCACAGAACAGGAAACCTTTGAGATAGGTCTCGAATGATGAGTAGAATTCTTTTAGGTGGAGAAGGGGATTTCTGAAAGCCCCTGAGTACTATGGCCAGTTAATAATCTTTATTGCTGATGTTAATTTTGACCGTTTGGTTAAGGTGTTAATGGGCTAGGCTTCTCCATGATAAAGTGAATTTTTTTTCCCTTTTTACATATTTGGAAGACTGTCATACAGTTCTATTTAATTTCTCTTCTAATTAACCGTCTCACTTTCTTTTAGCCATTCCTGAAACAATATGGTTTTCAGACTTTTCACTATCTAGTCATCTTCCTCAGAATGTTCCTCCACAGCTTAGTAAGAGCACTATAGTTCTACTTTCATATTCTGAACTCAGGAAACTATGAGAGTTAAATTATAGTCCTTAAAGGCAATATAAAGTAAAAAGTGTTTCCAATATATGTTCGGTTGACAGTGCCCTCAGTTATAAAAACAAAGCCAGTATTTTTTATAGTTAGCTCAGCAGCGCCCTCTTGTACTCTGAACTCCTGGTACCACAGAGCCCTGAGTATTTTGTAAAAAGTGCTGAACCTTGGTTTCTCAGGTTATTGTTATCTACACATATCTGTGGTATTGCAGAAAATTATGGAACATTATTCTCCTGCCCAATAATCATGGCAGGTGATGCCAGCAATCTATTACAGTGAAAATCTCATTTTAGCATCTTATGATCTTTCATTTAGACCAATGAATTATTTCAAAACTTCCAAGGTTTTCATTTAGATTAACACATTGTTTCAAAACTTAAAGGTTTTTCCTTCAGACTCCAGAAGTATCTTGGTAATAGTAGATAACAGATTTGACATAAATATGATGATCATTTAACAGAGAAAGCTTGCCTTGTGTTCCTTTAGAACGTGTCTACCACTCTAATAAGGGACAGACTTCCCTGGGGTCATATTTTTTTCACCTTGAAGTAAATTTTAATTTACATTTCTTTCTACTGTGCCATGCTTACAGTTTTAGTAGCTACTATCCTATAATTAATTAGTGAGTTATAACAATTGAAGTTAAAGTGAGAATGGCCCATCTGTTGTCTAATTATTTCTTTTTTAAATATTGCTGCAGTTGTTGCTGGGTTTATCTGCCTCTAATTTTAATCAAAACTTCAAATTTATGGGATAAAAGATAAATGCCCAAGTAACTAGTAATTTGGATTTTCTTTCTTTTTTTTTTTTTTTTCCTTTTTGTCTTTTTTCGTGTCCGGCAACGGATCGCAACCCTCAGTGTCGCGCCCGTACCGGACCGGGACCAGCAACGGGATCGCAACCCTCGGTGTTGCTCCCACACCTCGCTCAGCCAGTGAGCAGGAACCGGTCTGTACGTGGGATCCGAACCCTCGGCGGGAGCGCCACTGCGCTTCCCAAGCGGCGCACTGTAGCAGTGCGCCACCGGGCCAGCCCGTAATTTGGATTTTCTGACATGAAAAAATAGAAAAAGATCTGTAAAATAAACATTTGTACTGAAACTAAACTCAAACAAATATACTTTGTGGGTCTTTAGGCAAACAGTACTGATGGCATAGGTGTCAACAAAAGACACAGGCACTGTTCAATAATGCATTCTATTTAATAACTTAGAAAGTACAAGCAAAAAAAACACACCATTCTATTATTCAGAGATAAAAATAAATATGTTAATAATTGATATCCTTTTGATCTTTTCCTATACATCCACTTAACAATTATTTTTAAACTGTTTTTTTTCAGTTAACTATCGTGAACATCTTTGAATGGATCATTCTTTATCAATCCTCTATAAAAGCAAAGAAACATACTTAAATGATGATATTTCTGCGAGGAGCCTGTTAATATGATCCAGATGCATTCTGAGAGTTCAGCTAGGGAGTAGATGTTTTCATTGTGAAAAACAGTGTTGCCTTTTCAGATGAAGACTGTCAATCAAAGAAATACATGCCAGAATTCCTTCTATTTGTGCAAATTCTAAGACTTTCATCTACTTCCCATAATTTAGAATTGCTTGAGGTAGGGAGATAGTAGAATTATAAATCTGAATGGCTTTTGAGAGTGGCTTGGTGTATTAGTCCGTTTCTGTTGCTTGTAACAAAATACATAGAACTGGGTAGTTTACAAAGAAAACACAATTTATTGCTTACACTTTCTGAGGTGGGAAGTCCAAAGTCCAGGAAACACATTTAGTGAAGGCCTTGGTGATAGTGACAGTGACTCAGGGGTCTCACATTGCAAGATAGCAGAAGCAGACAGAGGGACAGACTCTTCATGCTCCCGTTTTAAAGCCCTCAGAACCATGCCCCTGACCACCATTATTAATCCATTCACTACGGCTCATTCCTACAATCTAATCATCTCTTCAAGGCCCCACCTTTCAATTACCATAATGGGATTTCCCACCCTTTTAACACTGTTACAGTGGGGGTCAAGTTTTGGGGGGACACTCAATCCAAGGCACTTGGGCACCTTCATCTTTTAAGTGCTATCAAGAAGGGAACACATTCTGGGGTTAGTATTTTTTCTTTGCTTATTTTGAGTAGTACAAAGTCATGGTACCCACTGAACTATTCTTTGTGTCTGCTATTGCTAAGAGACTGTCTTAAGAGAGCAATCTCAATTTTGTTACAAGTAATTGCCAAAGGAGATGGACTATATTGATTGGATGAAAATGTTCGAGCACCACTATGCATGTGACTTCTGTTTTGCCAGGATACAATGCAACCGTCCTAGCCTATGGGCAGACTGGCTCTGGAAAAACCTATTCAATGGGAGGTGCATACACGGCAGAGCAAGAGAATGAACCAACAGTTGGGGTCATTCCTAGGGTAATAAAACTGCTCTTTAAAGAAATTGATAAAAAGAGTGACTTCGAATTTACTCTGAAAGTGTCTTACTTGGAGGTAAGTGATTTATCTTTAAATATTCTGAATTCAAAATTATCTTTGGGTAGAAAAATAAATCCAAGTCAGGTTTTTTCTGGCATGACTCAAATTAGTTAATTGCTTTTAATAAATTGATAGAGAAAACTTACTGGCTCAGTTTGATCTGGCTCCAACCCAATTCTTTTACAGTCTGTTTAATCTGATTGTTAGAGGAATTGGCATTGCCATATAAAAAGATGATAGGAATTCTTTAATTCCAATTGGGTCTCTATTACTGATTTCCTGTAGAGTCTGCAGAAAACTGATTTCCCTTTACTGTTTTGAGGCTTAAATGATAATACTGCTACTTCATGAAGAATGTAATAAAAATCAGGTAAAATATTGAGCTGTGTAAGTGGTGATAAAGTGTGTTTATTCAACAGATATTTATTGAGCATGTACTATGTGCCAGACCCCATTCTGGGCACTTGGATATATCAGGTACTTGAGATATATCGGTAAACAAAACAGATAACAATCCCTGCCCTTATGGGAGTTTGCATTCTAGTGTATGTCAGTATACAAGTAGATTGACCATTTATATCTAACCTCATGACACCAAAAACACATGTTTAGGGAACTTACGGCTTCTGGGAAACTAGCTGGTTGGTTTCATAACAGTGATGTCTTATCTTTAAGGAGCAATAATTAAACTTATATAATTTAAGCATGCAATTATAAATTATATGTGAATACTTCATCCTGATCTTGAGTCTCAATATGTTAACAGGTATAGGATGTATAGAGTCGGATGAGGGGGTGTTAAGATTAGCCTTCTTGAGTCTCTTGATTAACCCAGTTGTGGCCAAAGTAATTGAATATAAAAATAACTTGGGGGCTGGCCAGTTAGCTCAGTTGGTTAGAGTGGGGTGTTATAACACAAAGTCAAGGGTTCAGATCCTCGTACTAGCCAACCGCCAACAAAAATATTTGCTATTATTACTGTTGCTATTGTTTAACATGCCAGGTTCCTAAGGCTTTTGTTTTTTAATTGTTGTTGTTGTTGACGGTAGGAACCTGGCATGTTAAACAATGGCAACAGCAATAATAGCAAATATAGTGCTTACTATATGCTAAACGCTGTTTTAAGTACTTAAAGTTCTGCTTGGTGTTGAAATATTCGTTGCCACTTCTCCGCTGCTTCCCACCTCCGCCCCTCAACTAAGGGCCTGTTGTTCACATTTTATTGGTGAAGGTAATGCTTTAATGATATGGTCAAAGAACTGAATTTGGGTACCCATGTAACTTTTTGTGTGTCTGCTATTCCTAAGAGACTCTGTCTTAAGAGAACAGTCCTAATTTTGTTACAAGTAATATGTGAATTCATTCTGGTAAAATATCAAATGATTACATATAGGATTAAAGTCCTTTTCTTAATTCTAAAAATGATACATGTTCATTGTAAACAAATTTTTAAATACAAAAAGTCACAAAGAATTTTAAAAATTACGTATGATCCCACCACCCAGAGATGATCACTGTTAACATCTTGTTCTTGCGACTTTATTTTCAATGATAGATTTACAATGAAGAAATTTTGGATCTTCTATGCCCATCTCGTGAGAAAGCCTCTCAAATAAGTATACGAGAGGATCCAAAGGAAGGCATAAAGGTATGTGTCTCTCATTCAATATTATTTTAAAATGTTAGCAACTACTAAAGTTCACATCTCTTCTATTTGCCATGTGGTTTTAAATGACTACTAACATCTCAGTCTTTCAGATTTTGTTAATCCTAATTCCCTTTTGTTAATCTAGAATTCCTAGAGCTCTTGTAGGGAAGGAAGGAAGGACTCACATTGAGTTTTATCACCTTCCTGTTACTTCTTAAAGGAATGTTAATATCAATTAAATATTTATTAATTGATAGAGTTCTGAGGCTGAGCTGTCCAGTATGGTAACCACTAGCCACAAGTGGCTATTTAAATTTAAATTAATTAAATTAAATAAAATTTAAAATTCAGTTCCTCAGGCACACTAGCCACACACATATCAAGTGCTGAATAGCTACCTGTGGCTAGTGGCTACCTTATTGGGACAGCTCCGATGCAGAGTATATCCATAATCACAGAAAATTCTTTCGGACAGCACTGTAGTAGACATTGTGCTAGGCTTTGGGATGATATTTAAAAAGTCAAAAATTAAGTATCATAGGAAGAAGAGATCAGTTGTTTGAGAGCCTTCTGCCACATGGTATAGATGCATGATAAGGAGCTAGAGCTGAACAGAAAATGTGAGGCAAGGTTGGGAGTTTCATATGTGGGAGAGGACCAAATCCACAAGACAGTGTTGAAAACAGAGAGCTTCAGTATTCAAGAGTGGGAGAATCAAAGGCTTTAAGTGGGTGAGAATAGGTAGTACAGACTTGGGAAAACTTGGAAAAATAGTATCTTACCCATCTTCTCCTTCCCCTCTTCCTCTGCACAAAGCTAAAAAGAAAGGTGAAGGTTTGGGTACAGGTGAGGGGCAGGTGCCTGTGCTCCAAAATTTTTCTTCCTTCTGGATTAAGTTGTTAGCCAGGGACTAAAGGAAGTGTTGAAGGATCAGGCCTGATCAGTTTGGAACACAGAAAGATGATTTGGATGGTGGGGATAAGAAACCTGGGCAAATGCATGCTATCACCAGAAAGAATGTTGGTACTGAGCCAGCTCTTGACCCTCTTCCAAGATCTTTTATATGCCCTGTGCTAAGTCAGGAATTAAATCCCAAGCACTGTTTGAGGTGAGATTTGTAGTACAAAGAAGTGTGGGTCATTGACACAAATAGGGGTGGGTAAGGGCAAGTTTGTAAGCACTCTGATGGGATGGATGGGATTTAAGTAGAGAAAAGAAATAAGGATATTCCTGTAGTAAGGAATAGCTTCAACAGGAAAGCAGAAAATATACACCTGGGAGTAACAAGAGTAGACCAGTCCATCTGGATTAGAGGATTTGTGCTGGGAAGTAACAGGAGATATGTTAGGACCAGATTATGAAGCCAGGCTAAAGAGCTTAGTTTCTATCCCTGTGAACAGTATTTAAACTATTTAATATTTCCAAGTAAGGGTCGCTGTGGGTACTTCTACCAAGTTTTTGTCTTATGTGTGTATCTCTCCAACTATATTAGCTCCTGGAGGTTAGGAGAGTATTTTAAAATCTCATTGTATCCTCATTAAGTAGCACAAGGCTTAGTAGTTTGGTGACATTTTAGGAAGCAAGATTTTAGGAAGACTAAACAGAAATGGGTTGAAAAGGAGAAAGATTAGGATGAGGGAGACCAGTTGGGGAAACTATTGCCTTATTTTTCAGACATAAAGTAATATGGGCCTGGACTAGGCAAGCAGATGTGGAAAGGAAAAAGAAGTGATGGATTCCAAAGAAGAATGACTACAGTTGGTGATAGATGGGATATAGAGGAATGAGAGGAGGTGATCTAAGGTTTTAAGAATATGAGAATAGAGAGATATTAATAGAAATGGAGAAGTAGTAGAATCGGTGTTGGTGGAAGGAAGATGAGTTTGGTTTATAATTTACTGATTTCAAAGTATAAGTAGCAGAGAGTGAGAAATAAAGGACTAGACATTAGGGCCACACATGTAGGTTTGGGAGCTACGGAGTAATAAAATTACAGCATATTGGGGCTAGAAGGGACTTCATAATCGTCTAGTCCAATCCCCCCAGAGGTTCCAAGAGATTTCTACTTGTATAAGTTCTCCCAGGTAGATAACAGTACCAAGCCTGGGACCCTGTTCTCCTGGCTTCCTAATCCAGTGTGAACTGTTCCATGCTATTTCCTCAAGTGAAAATGGAAGTATAAAATGGGTCAGAGGTACAGGAAGGAGCAGGGGGTCCAATGGAGGACAAAGTAGCAAAGAGAAATACCATAGCTGTTTTTGTTGCACATTGCACTCCTTGGATCCAAAGTTTATTTCACTTGGAGCTCCCTGGAAGGCATATAGCCATTGCTACCTTAAAATCTAGAGATCTTTTCTAGCTCCAGTATTGGCTAGCACCCTTGTTTCTGAAGTTTGTAAGGTAGATTGGAGACCTTGGTTTCCAGTGATCTTCACAGAGTTGCTAGTTAAAACAGTCCTCATTACCATTCTCCTGGAACATCAAGGTATTTTTTTAAGCCACCAGTCTTTATATTTTTGATCAAGCATTTGAAGTATGAGTCATAAGGAAATTTTTTCTTTCTTGGAATTAGATTGTGGGACTCACTGAGAAGACTGTTTTAGTTGCCCTGGATACTGTTTCCTGTTTGGAGCAGGGCAACAACTGTAGGACTGTGGCCTCCACAGCTATGAACTCCCAGTCATCCCGATCTCACGCCATCTTTACAATCTCCATAGAGCAAAGAAAGAAAAGTGACAAGTAAGTTACACTGTTAGTTCTGTTAAGGTTGAATATTAGGCTGCTTCTTCAATTGATTTGACAAATTATCAGACATCAGTATCGTGACCAATGGAGCCATTTTGACTGACTTGAAAGAAAATGAGAGACAGCAGGTCAACTTTGATACTCAACTACTCTCAAGCTTGTGTACCATTCTCACATGTGTCTTTCTGTCATTATCACAGGAATAGCAGCTTTCGTGCCAAGCTGCATCTTGTAGACCTTGCTGGATCAGAAAGGCAAAAGAAAACCAAGGCTGAAGGGGATCGTCTAAAAGAGGGTGAGAAAGTAATTAAGGTCACAGTTGTAGATAAAAACTTCTAGTACTCTGTTGGTATTGTTGGTGTTTTGACTGGAATATTTCAGATCCCATTATTATTATTATTATTTTTTGTCCTTTTTTGTGACCAGCCACACCGTGCTCAGCCAGTGAGTGCACCGGCCATCCCTACATAGGATCCGAACCCACGGCGGGAGCGCTGCTGCACTCCCAGCACCGCACTCTCCTGAGTGCGCCACGGGTTCGGCCCTCAGATCCCATTATAATAGTAACTACAATTCAAGTTTGAGGCTGATTTCAGAAATAGTGTAAAATTGTTTCTTTCCCTTGCATTCATTCTCTAATGTAGATATGAGGTTTAGATCTGGCCCATGGTTTGATTTCATCTGGTCTAGGCAAGTTTTAGTTTTTGTTTTGTTTTGTTTTACCTCCACCTACTTGTAAAGTCAATATCCTGATTATGTCATTTCAAGTATTCACTATCCCATCCAGATGCTATCACATATAAACCTTATCAGCATGGTTTCCATATCTTCATTCATGTTGTTAGATTTAAATGATGAAGCTCCTAAGGCTAGAAGAACCGTGTGGTGTGTGCTATTAGACACCTTTATCTAGCATGATAATGACTTGATAATCTGCATGTTTTGAGATTGGTCTTTCAAGCAATTATTAATCTGTGTAATAAAAATTAACATCCAGCTCTTATTTCTCAATTTTGTTTTAAAGATCTTAAAAGATTTCATCAAATTCCTTGCTAAGTCCAGATATACTGTCTACCATAATTCTCATCGCTACCAGATTAGTAGCAGTACAAAAAAGAAAAAAAGATTAACCTAAATTGACTTTTTCTTGGTGGCTTCAGGATGGATTCTAGTGGTTGTTCTTCCATTTCTAGATTCTTACAAGCCATCCCTGTAATAACGCATTCTAGACTTATATCAAACTCACTGGTCTGTAATTTGTAGAATTAACTTTTACCCCTTTTTTGAAAATTGAAATTACATCTGCCCGGTCTTCTGGAACATCTTTCTCTGTGATTCCTCAAAGATCATTGACATAGCTTCAGCGGTCTTATTTGAAATTACTCAGTTCCCTCAGCTATAATTCATCTGGTCCAAGATATTTGAATTCTTGTTAAAGTAGTTGGGTTCTCACTTACTACCTCTTTACCCACATTGGGCTTCAGTTCCCTCATGGGAACTGAGAAGGCAGAAGCAAAAATAGTAATTGAGGAATTTTTCCTCTTTGTCATTTTTCATTATTATACTGCAGGTACAGGGCAGAGACCTATTTCTTCCTCACTCAGCTTTTTATTCTGAATGTATTTGGAAGTGCCCTTTTTGTTCTATGTTTGCACTTTGAGATTTAGCCTTCTTAAGACTGTTTTTAGAGGTTCTTATACCTTCTTTATCTTCTTTTAGGTGTATGGTTCTGAGTTCTTTTATTTAACAGCTTTATTGACATATGGGTATAATTCACATACTATAAAATTCTCCCATTTAAACTGTGCACATCAGTGGATTTTGGTATATTCACAGAGTTGTGCAACCATCATCACAATCTAGTTATAGAATATTTTATCACCCCGAAAAGAAGCCCCATACCCATAGCAATCACTCACCATTTTCACCCTCTTCCCTAGCCCTAGGCAAACCCACATTTCATATAAATCATGCAAAATGTGATCTTTTGTGACTGATTTCTTTCACTGAGCATAAGGTTTTCAAGGTTCATCCATGTTGTAGCATGTATCAGTACTTCATTCCTTTTTATTGCTGAATATATTGCATTGTATGGGTATACCACATTTTGTCTGTCTTTTCATCATTTGTATCCAATATTGGCTATTATAAATATTATTGTGTGAACATCTGTGTATAAGTTTTCATGTGGACAAATGTTTTTAATTTCTCTTGGGTATGTACCTAGAAGTGGAATTGCTGGGTCATATGGTAACTTGGTTTACCTTTTTTTTTTTAATTAAGATATAATCAACATACCATAAAATTCATCCTTTTAAAGTGTACAATTCAGTAATGTTTAGTGTATTCACAAGGAGTTGTGTAAACATCACCACAATAAATTTTAGAACATTTCATCACCTCATAAAGAAACTTATACCCATTAGCAATCACTTCCTTTTCCCCCCCCTACACAACTATCTCCCTCCACCACCACCACCCTAAGCAATAACTAATCTTCTTTCTGTCTCTACAGATTTGCCTATTCTGGGCATTTCATATAAATGGAATTATGTAATATATGGTCTTTTGTGACTGGCTTCTTTTACGTAGCATAATGTTTTCAAGGTTCATCCATGTTGTAGCATTTATCAATGCTTCATTCCTTTTTATTGTCAAATAATATTCCTTTGCTTGGAAATAATGCATTTTTATTTATCCATTCATCTGTTGATGGATGTTTAGGTTGTTTCCATTTTGGATTATTATGAATAATGCTGCTATGAATATTTGTGTACAAATTTTTGTGTAGATGTATGTTTTCATTTCTCTTGGGTATGTACCTAAGAGTGGAATTTCTGGGTCATATGGTAACTCTTATGTTTATCTTTTTGAAGAACTGCCAGGCTGTGGTTCTCATTTATGTTTCACTGATGGCTAATGATGTTGAGCATCATTTCATGTGCTTATTGGCAATTTGTATATCTTCTTTGGAAAAGTATTCATTCATATCATATTTAGGTCTTTGGTCAATTTTGAGTTAATTTCTGTATATGATGTGAAGTAGTGATCCAACTTCAGTCTTTTGCTTGTGGATGTCCAGTTATCCCAGCATCATTTGTTGAAAAGACTGTTGTTTCCCCTATTGAACTGTTGGCATCCTTGTCAGGAAGTAATTGAACTCTCTATTCCACTGATCTATAATATGTCTATCCTTATGCCAGTACCACACTGTCTTGATTACTGTAGCTTTGGAATAAGTTTTGAAACTGGAAAGTGTGAGTTCTCCAACTTTGTTTTTTTTTTCAAGATCATATTGGCTATTCTGGGTCCCTTGCATTTTCCTATGAATGTTAGGTTCAACTTGTCAATTTCTGCAAAGAAACCAGCTGGGATTTTCGTAGGGATTGCATTGAATCTGTAGATCCATTTGGGAAGTATTGTCTTCCAATGCATGAACATCAGATGTCTTTCCATTTATTTAAGGCTTCTTTAATATCCTTCAATAATTTTTTAAATTTTTAGAATATACATTTTACACTTCTTTTATTAAATTTATTTCTGATTATTTTATTCTGTTTAATGCTATTGTAAATGGAATTTTTTTAAATTTCATTTCAAATCGTTTGTTGAGATTTGTATATTGATCTTGTGTCTGAAAACTTGCAGAACTTGTTTATTAGTTCTAATAGTTTTTTAATAGATTCTTTAGGATTTCTATATACAAGGTCATGTCATCTATGAATACAGATAGTTTTACTTCTTTCTTTCCAGTCTGAATGCCTTTCTTCTTTTTCTTGTCTAATTGTCCTGGCTAGAACCTCCAGTACAATGTTAAATAGAAGTGGTGAGAGTGAATATTGTTGTCTCGTTCTTGATCTTAAGGGGAAAATATTCACTCTTTTAATTTTAGGTTTGATGTTAGCTGGGGGTTTTTCATAGGTGCCGCTACCAGGTTGAGGAAGTTCCCATATATACCTGGTTTGTTGAACGTTTTTATCATGAATGGGTATTTGTCAAATGCTTTTTCATTGTCTATTGACATGATCACGTTATCGTTCTTTATTCTGTTGATATGTTGTTTATTGATTTTTGGATGTTAAAATAACTATGTACTCCTGGATGAACCTCACTTGTTTTTGTTTGTTTAATGACTTTCCTGAACTAATTCTGTAAACTCTGTATTCCTTGTAGTTTGCCATCACAGAAGTGTCTGCTCCGTTTGTTTGGTCGTTAAATGACTGGTCTCAGATTTCCTTAAATGCCCTGAATCTATAAATATACCATTTGCCTAGGGCTTCGTGTGTGTGTGTTTTGGCATGCCTTCAACACATAGGAACTTTACAATTCTGCCTTAGCCTTCACTGCTTGAGTAGGGTCTCAAAGTCAGCCAGAGGTGCAAGATTGAGGGCTTTTTAGGTCTTTCCTGAGTGTGCACACAGCGCTGCATATTCACACAGCTTTCTAAATATCCAGAAATATATCAGAACTTTTTAAAGCCCCCTGTGGACACCTCATTCCCCAGATCTTCCTTTTAAGCTTTTGGCCAGGCTCTTATTTAACCGTGGTTATTAAGTTTGCTGTGTATCCTCACCAGATGTTTTTCTATGTATATTTGAATATGCACATATAGTAATATAGTTTTGTTATATGCCTTTTAAAATTTTGGTATTGCTAAATTAATTTATTGCCTTTTAATCATTCAAGTAATACATGAATAAATTCTTAGTATAAAAATACAAACAACACAGATGAACATAAAATCTCCCTTGATGTATCCCCAGTCCTAATCCAGAGGTAGCCACTTTCATCTGCTTGGTAAGTATCAATCAAGATTTTTTTGCATACATATATATTTTTATTATTGTTTCCATGTTGTTTTAAAAGATAAGTGCTCTCATATTGCACATATTGTTTTGCAACTTGCTTTTGTCTTAGTGATACATCTTTGAGATCTTTTTGTATCAGTATATGTACGTCTGCCTCATTTTTAAAACTGCTATATAGGATTCCATGGTATACAGAGTCTCCTTTGTTTATTCCTGTTTTTTTTTTTTTTAAAGATTACCGGTAAGGGGATCTTAACCCTTGACTTGGTGTTGTCAGCACCATGCTCAGCCAGTGAGCGAACCGGCCATCCCTATATGGGATCCGAACCCGGGGCCTTGGTGTTATCAGCACCACACTCTCCCGAGTGAGCCACGGGCCGGCCCTGTTTATTCCTGTTTTGATCGACATTTCATCCGATTTCTGACTATTGTAAGATGATGCCTCAGTGGATACCCTCGTACATGATATAAACATGAGAGTATTCTC